ATTGCATTGCAGTGGGTAAAGAATATGCTGTTTCAGAAAGATATTTGGTCATCTAAAAAAGCATTTAACTGTCACAGGGCTACATTTCAGTAATTGTCTGGCTGCAGCACACAAACAAGAGAAGAATTCATGGTTCAGCAGGATAAAATCAGAGCACTTGAAAGCTGGTCCCAATTCCAACTCTCATTCTGAAAGGTGAGATTTAGAGACATGTCAAAGGCCACTATTTCTACTAACTAGTCAGCCAGAACAGGAGCTGAGCTGTCTGAAGAGGCTCGGAGGTTATTTGAGATACTATTGCTGTTCCTATCTGGGCCCTGGACAGTGACCAAGCACACATTCTAGCACATGCTATGTAATAACTAAAATTATAAACTACAGCTGTCACAATTAATAGATTAATGTTAAATGATGCAAAAATAAACAGGGAATGTCTGTTTATTAAGGGGGTTTATGAAAGTGCCTCCAAGGCATTTCAAGTGCTAAAAATTGCTGGTCTTTGTCCTGTCAATTTCATTACAAAGATACACATTTCAATTTGCTGTTAGAAGACTAATCTTTAGTTAGTCTTCTCAAGTTAGTTGCTTTTAGCTGGGAGTTTATGCCCAGATATTCCAGATACTTAATTCAAAAAAGCTTTCGCTCACCAGCCAATATATATGAAGAACTGTGTTAGATGTCAGGAACATAAAAATGAGTAAGATTTAAATCATGTGAATCAACAAACACTTTGGACTCCTTTCCATGTGCCAGGCACTGTTCTAAGCACTAGAAAACTGCAGTAGCAGAGGCTTAGAAAGACTATTCACTGTCAATAAAAATAAGTCCAGGGGCTCTGTTGGTAGCTCAGCTGTAACCTCAGTGATCCAAATGGTTTTGGTCTTCCCGTTTCCTCTTAATATTTTGGAATTTTCCTTTGGGCTTTTTGCTTTGTGGTCACAAAACACCTGTTCCAGCTTCAGGTATCATGACCTCACAATACCATCTCAAAGCAGGATGAACAAGGATGGTGGGAGAGATCTCTTACACATCTCTTTTTATCATACCAACAATTTCTATCCTAAGGCTTCCTGGCAGACTTCCCCTCAAATCGGTACTGAGAACAGAATTTTCTGTGATGTTGGAACCATTCTATAATTTGTACAATCAGTATCTGCCAGCCCCATATAGTTAGCAAGCCCTTGATTTGTGGCTAGTGTGTCTAAGGAACTGAATTTTCAGTTTTATTTAATTTACATTGAAATTTAAATACTCACATGTTCCTAGTGCCTACTATATTGGACAGTACAGCCTTTGATTCTTTTTGGCTGGAACTAGGTTATATCCACTAATATATGGAAAGGCGGCCGGGAAATGATTAGCTTTTTCAGTCTCAAAGGCAGAAGTTTGGGGATGGCCCTTTGGCAGCATCCAGCAGTGTCTGCTATAGAAAGTAAATACTGTATTTTTCCATGTATAGTGCTCACTTTTTTGCCAAATTTTTGACTGAAAAATAAGGGTGCGCATTATACATGGGTAGCACTTATTCCGTATCTATATAAATGTTTTTAATTCTTTTATGTATGCTTATGCATTAAAAGTGTAACTCTAGAAATCACTAACAATATCTGTATGCAAAATAACACCCTGGAATAAGATAAGTGGTTTTGTTTCTAAAAGCAAATAAATAAAAAAATTGAATTAAAAAAATTAAAACGAAAGATTTTTTTCCCCTGAAAGTTTGGGTGCACATTATATGTGGCAAAATATGGTCAGAGAGATGTCATAGAGCTGGTATTGCAGTGGGGAGGCCAACAACATAAAAAAGTAAACAAATATATTCCTTTTAAAAGGTAACTATATTCAGGTCCTAACAAGCCGTGCTATCTAAACTCTGTCTAGATAATTGGTCTAGATTCTCGAGTCACGTAATAGGGAACAACTGAAGGTGGGAGAGAGTAATTAAAGAAGGAGGTCAGGAAAAGCCTCTAGGACCTCACAGTCTAATAGAGAAGAAAGAAGACTGGCATAGAAAAAAATGTTAATAAATAGAATGGTGTATATGTGTACACACACACCTATTTATTACATAGGTACTTACACACATAATGAATACCAAGTCTACATTAAGAGGAGGGCCAAAGTGTCTTTGAGGGCTTCCCTCTTATCTCCTACAAGCCTCACGTGACATAGCAAGACAGGATCTGCAGCCTAGAAGCTCTGGAATGCCGTCCACCAACCACCCCGACGGCAACGCTGATGCAATGCAGCTTTACTGGACTGTGTGTACATGAACGTGGTTAACAAGCAATTTCTCAAACAGCTTCTGTAGGGCGTTCGAAAGTGGGATGATCACAAACACAGCAAAAACTTTGAAAGCACCCGATTAGTCCTATGACTTCATAGGGTGACGTTCTTGACGCTTGAGGGGAAGATCAGCAGTAGATAGACCTGTCTTGCGAGAGGCGGTCAGGGCTGGGTAGCTTAATTAAAGTGGAGATTTTGGAGTGACCTAGCGTAAGTGAGAGCAAGTTTCAGAGATCGTCCTCTGAGATCTTTGTATGTGTGCAAAGGTCTACCTGCCATGTCTTAGGAGCATTGCTGTACAGAATGATAGTAACTGAGGGCTGTGAGCCTTCCAAGGATTGCAGTGTTGAAAGATACACTTTCTAAAGCCCTTTCCAGCTTTAATATATGACTATTTTGTGATTTACAATGATTTTAATTTCAAAGATGGTATGAGTGATTCCTATACAAGAGTGACTGAAGTTACCCATATAATCAAACATTTCCTCCAAATTTTTCCTTGGAGTCATGGCAACATCTGAGGTCTCTCTCTCTTTTTTTTTTCCTGATAATTCTATACTTTACATAACTTTCTCATCTATACTGAAGTAGAATGAAGCTATGTACCAAGTTGGTGTCAGTATTTGTGGTAAACCGAGTTCGAAAGAGACACGCATGTTTATTTCAACTATAGGCTGAAACAGACTATGTGGAGGTATTCACAGATTCTAAGTTCACATGAGAATTTGTGGCTATGACAATAGTAAGATGGCTATGAAAATCTGCCGTATTGCTGGAATAGGAAGTTTTTATCTTTATAAGGAAAACGAATAATGATGATAAAGATTTTGTTAGGGAAAAATAATTCTTTAAATAAATGCAGAGGGAATGTGGTCAATTTCAGCCACTTAACGCAGAAGCATCAGTTTGCCTTCTAAGTTTACTAATAGATTTAAAGCTACTAAACGGTCATGACAGACTCCCACTTTTTCTATCCGTCAGTATTGAGACCCACAGGTCGCCACTCAGCACCTTGGGCTATGTAAATTAACGAAAATAAAATAAAATGAGAAATAATATTCTTACCTCACTCTAGCTTCATTCCAAGTGTTAGACAGCTACACGTAGTTGCCATATTGGACAGCACAAACCTAGGAACAATTTTATCACAGGACATACTATCAGTGAGGACACTGTGAGGTTCGCACAGTTGACCTAAAAAATGTCGATCAAATGAAGTGCTATTTAAATTTAATGCAACAGCACACATTAAGTGAAGACCATTTGCCCACTACTGAGAAAGTTCTAGTTATATAAATGGATTCCTGGGAATTGGTCCCTAGACCCAGGCAAGAAAAACACCGCCCTGGGCTTTGTGTTTTGGAGGGCAGCATCCTGGCTCTCCTTTCCGAGGGGTGGAAAATCTCCGGGGCCAACGGGTGTGTTCCTCAAGAGCCTGGGTGTCCTTTCTAGAGGTTGCCCAAGGTACCCAGGCCCCTGGGATTCACTGATGGAAAATTCCCGGGGCTACTTCCAAGCCCTGAGCAAGAACTACCTTCCCAAGTGGAGGTGCAAACAACAGCTCTGTGCCGACGTGGGTCCAAGGAGCAGCCAAGGGGTGTGGACAGAGCTTGGCTGAGCAGGCCGGGTGTCCACACGTGCAGAAAGCCCCTTTTGTTCACCAATGGAACTGGCAGAGGAAGCAAAGGGCTTGGAAATGTGTAAGCCAAGGGCTGAGGCGGGTGGGCCTCTCTCCTCCCACCAAGTTTCAGGGTGGAACGCCAAGGTATCTGACAGCTCTGTACACAGGCTTGGCCGTGCAGGTTGTTATTAAGGAATGTTTCTCAAGGCAGGAGAATAGAATATATTTTACTTGTTAGCTTAATATACTCCTTGTAAATAGTTAAATATACGGTATGTGAGCCCTGGTCTTACAAATCCTAAGGCGGGGGCGGGCAGCCTTTTGTAGAGGAGTATATAGTCGATTTAGCTGGCGTTTCTTGGTTAGTTTGCTCACTCTTGCTCTAACTAGTTATATCCGGTATCATTGGATGTCACAGGGAAATTTCTTTCGAGGCTGCAGGTCCAGGGAGGCCCCAATACATCCTCTTCAGGGACCAAAGCCAGAGTTGCTGAAGGCCAGAGAAGTGGTAGAGTCCCCTTTCCGGGCAAGAGACCTGCTCCTAGCCGTGGTGTATTTGGGACAAATGAGACTACTTACGTTGTAGCATCAGAAAACTTGAAATCCCTTCGTGGGGAGTGAGATGGGAAAGCGATTACTCTCAAGATAGTCGGTTTGGGACACTTTTCCCTCGCCTCTCCTTTCTCCCAGGAAACAGCCTTGCCCTGTTCCCTCACTCAACCCTGGCCCTGGCTCCTCTGGCGGAATGGGCGGCCCCCAGGGGAGCACAGGACGGCTTTGTCTGGAAGGCGGCGACGGAAGGAGGGAGCGTGTGTGAGGGTGGCCACCCCGGCGGGAGTGCGGACTAGAACTTTGTCCGGTCCTCTCCACGAGTTGCCGCATTCCCGCGGGTCCCCCACAACCCCTGCCCGGAGGCCGAGGGCGGGGGTCGGCCCCAGGGCGAGAGGGCGGGGCAGGTCCGGGAGCGCGCACCTCCTTCCCGGAGCCGCGGGCGCCGGGAGGCGCGGGGAGGGGAGGAGACGAGGCGGAGGCGGTGGCGGCGGAGGAGGTGGGCGGGGAGGGGCCGCCGCGGGCTGCGGCCGAGGTTGGAGGCGGCTGCGACGTTGGAGGAAGCAGCGATCCCGCTGGGCGGCAGAGCGGCGCTGGGATTCACGCTGCAGTGACCCCACGGCTCCCCGGAGGCCGAGCGCGGCAGCAGCGGACAAAGGAGCATGCCGGCGCCGAGGAGGGCCCGTCCTCCGGCCGCCATGAGGCTCCGGGCGCCGCCGGGCCCGCGCCGCGTCCCCGCCATCCCGGGCGCCGGGCCGGCCCGCTAGGCCAGCGCGCCACCGCTCGCCCCGCAGGCCCCGGCCCGCAGCATGGAGCCGCCCGGGCGCCGGCGGGGCCGCCCAACGCCGCAGCAGCTGCTGCTGCCGCTTGCGCTGCTGGCGCTGCTGGGAGGTGGCCGCGGCGCCGTGGCACTGCCCCCGGGTTGCAAGCACGACGGGCGGCCCCGAGCGGCCGGCAGGGCGGCGGGTGCCGCCGAGGGCAAGGTGGTGTGCAGCAGCCTGGAGCTCGCGCAGGTCCTGCCCCCGGACACGCTGCCCAACCGCACAGTCACCCTGTGAGTAGCCCTCGCTCCCGGGACTGGCCCTCCGGTGCTTTCTGGTCGCGCCGTCTCTCTCCGAGCAAACTTTGGAGAGGGGTCCTGCGAGCACCCACGCGCCTTTGTGTGAATGAAGCTTCAGGCAAGGGTGCTGCTGGGTGGAAGACTTGGCTTGGGAGCGTTGGGGGAAGGCACGTGAATCTGCCTCCGAGCTGCCTTTTGCAAAGTGAAAGTTTTAGGGTTCCCTGGCGCGCCCCGCGCCGTCTGGGCTCAGCGCTTCGGTCGCGGCGCGGTGCCACGTGAGGATGCGAGTAAACATGCACAGTTGGCAGAATTACAGCTCATTCATCCTGCGCTCGGGCTGCCAGAAAACTGCGCTCCATTCCGAGCGTCTGCCCTTAACTCTGTGCGCATTAAGTTACGCTCAGATGCTAGTTCACAGCCTACCAAAACAATAACAAAACAACACCGGACTCAAAACGCCCCTTTGTGTGATTCCCTCACCCCCCAGATTATTGATTTGCCTTTTGCTATCTTCGTTTTATTACACTTAAAGAGCACTTTTTAAAGTTGAGTTGTTATGAAGAGCTAGAAGCATATTTGAGATGAAGTCTTGCACTTGCCAGCCCCATTTTCGTGTGTGAGAGCTCAGATTTAAAAGCTGAGAACTTTGGAATTGAAAACACTGTGGGTTTGTTAGCCTTCCAATTCGAGGGACTGGTTTTCGAATGGAGTTGCCTGCCACCTGGAAGGAAAAAGTTTTCGGTCTCATAACTCACTGTGTGCTGAGATCCACGGTCCGGTTTTGCAACTGTGGTTCTGCGCATTCCAGATGAACAGTTGGCCCCAGTGTCTCTTGATTTTATTTTCTGAACCGTGAATTAGTTTGGGAAAGCTTTAGAGCGTTCCTAATGGATCTTTTATTGAAAGGAAGTATGAATCCCCCAGCTCCCCATTCCCCTATGTTGTTAAAAAACAAACAAACAAACAAACAAAACCCCCACAAAAACCCGCCAAGGCTGCCACTATACTATAAAAACATGAAGGCCAGGAGAGCAGTATGACCCATGAAAAAATTAAAATTTTTAAAAATTTACTCCAAATTAAGCAGGATATTGGGTAAGATAAGTATAAATCTCATTACTAACACCTTTGCTCCTCATTTCCTTTTGTTTGAGTTAGGAAAGGTTTCACACTGGAAAATGTGTGTGTGTTTCTGTTTATGGAAGCATGAAAATGAGTAAAAATAATTTGTTTTCTTTGACTCCATTAGGAGCCAACACTTGACCATTTGGTAGTGGCAGCAGCTGTATTTATTTATTTCTTAGCCAGATTCTTTGAAGTGGGAATTCTGAGTATGGGACCTTAATTTCAGTTTTGAGCCAACACATCTCCTGTGTTGGAGATGCCCCTTACTACTCTGCAGAAATTAGTCAGCGGCCCGTTGAGTTCTGGGCCAGGAGCGCTTAAGCTGATTCAAGTTTAGGTCGAGTTTTTCTGAAACGTCAGCAGTTCCAGCTGGATTGATCAACTACGTGTAAATTGTTGATTTTGCTTTGCAGAAAGAAAAAAAAAAGAGTGTTGTAGAAAATCACTTTTCAGCATGTTATCAGTTAAACCATTTTCCTGAATTTCTCATGCACTCATTAAAAGTGCCTCTAAAACGTCATTTTCATCCTTTTTGTTTTTGCACCTTAAAGTTCTTTAGATGAGATTGAAACTGATAAAGTTTACTTATTAAGGGGCGGGAACTTGTAATTTATTTCAGGCTCTAATAGAGCTGATGCGCTGGATGCAGCCGGTTCAAGGTGCACTGGAGCTGGGAGAGGGCCTTCTGGGCCAGCTGCTTCATTTTCTGGAGGGAATGAATAGAGTCCCTGCGGGTAACTGACTTGCCCAGGTTCTCACAGTGAATGAACAGTGGAAGGTCCACGGCCCAGATTCTCACCCTGTAGCTCCGATGCCCTCCCTCTGTCCCCTCCATTCCCTTCATTTTTCTTATTAGTTCAACACAGTCTTTGTTCAGTGGTTCTGTAGGTAGCAGGCAGCACGTTGAGGTTTGGATGAGGTGTTAGTTTCATAGAGCTGCAGCAAATTACCAGAACCGGGAACTGAAAACACATTTCTTCTCTCACAGTTCTGGAGGCCTGAAGTCCGAAACAAGGTGGCAGCAGGGCCACCATCCTTCCAGAAGCCCTAGGGGAATCCATGCTTCTGTCAGCTTCTGACCTTCCTTGGATTGTGGCAAATCAACTGCAATCCCTGCCTCTGTCTTCACGTGGCCTTCTCTCTCTCTCTCTCTCTCTCTCTCTCTCTCTCTCTCTCTCTCTCTCTGAAACACTCTCTTTTTTCTTTATAAGGACCACCAGTTATTGAATTTCGGGTCCACCCTAAGTCCAGGATGATCCCAGCTCATGATTTATAGCTTCATTACATCTGCAATGACTCTTTCCAAATAAGGTCACTTTACCGGAAGTTGGGATTTGGACATACTTTTTGGTGTACACTATTCAAGTCAGTACAGAATATAAATATAAACATGGTCTTTCTTCAGCAGGAACTCGGGGATGTGTTTGGGGAGAAAGATTCATGAAAAAGTTTCAGAACATGGTGAATGCTCTAATGTTGGGGTGCACATGTAGCAAAAGGAACCCAGAACAGGGCAACCGAGACCTCCTTGGGGCACAGTTGGTGGGATTGAGGATCTGAAGATCCTAATCCAGTTCAAGAAGGATGAGAGTGATTGTGAAGGAAATGGTGGGGGGAGGAAATGAGGGGTGGAAGGCGGGGACCCCAGCATGCCCGCCTGCTTGGAGGAGGGCAGTGTGGCTTGCAGAGCTGTGCAATTGATGTCGCTGGAATGTCGATGGCAAGTGACCACTGCCCAAAGTGGCTGGAGGGAAGGCTGTAGGGACCGGCTGGAGAACAGGCAGGCTCTCTGGTGTGACCAGCTGTTTTTAGTTGAAAAGTGATGGGGGTTGAGAGAATGGTAAGGATAGGATAGGATTTATTGTTCTTATTTTTTAACAATAAAAGAAAGGCTCTTTCTACGTAGCGGATGAACTGGACTCAAACGTAGCCTGAAGTGCAGGCTTTTCAGCTGCCTTCATGGACAACACTCATTTCCAAAGCCACGTTTAGGGAGAGGTCTAGCAGAAATTCTTGGCATGACCACACTTGTCCTCTGTATTTCATGTAGCCTTTTGGATTAAAGGATTAAATTGCATTTATCATTTCTGCACATGCATTGAGTAAAAACCTAACCACATTGAATGCTTCTGTTAGGAATATAGTAAATAATTTAAATTTCCATGTTTTATGTAAAAGGCTGCTCAGTATTTTAAGTTTAAAAATGTTTGAGGACGTCAGGGATAGAAAGTTTTACAAATTTAGTCCTTGCTTTTCCAAATGTGTCTTCCTTACGATGCTAGATGCTACGTAATGGTTCTAGGCAAAGTTTTGTTGTTTGTTTTTTTTTAATGGTTTGTAAAGTAACTCAGGGACAAAGTCCAGATTTTTCTCAGACTGTTTAACAGACTAAAGCACTGCATGAGTTTTGGTTTTTACTTCATAAAATGTTATGTTTGTTTGCTCCCGACCCTGGTCATTGGACATCACCATTGTGTCCGGCTCCGTGCCAGGTACACGGAAAGGAATGCTTGTATTGTTCAGAAAGGATCACGTTGGGGAGAGTGGATTTGCACCAAAGGAGAAGGCATTTAGGGAACAATTACGGAATGCCTGTCATGAAGTAATAAATCCTATACTGCTGAGTGTTTAAATGCTTTAGGAAGTCTGACAAGGGGAGAGACCAGTGGGGCTCTGAAGGCCTTGGAAGCTTATTTGTTTTCCTGAAGGGAGGTCTGGAGCAGGGCCTGAGGACGGGAGCTCTGGGATTGGGTTGGGGAGAGGGCAGTTCCGGGGTTACAGTGAGGGCTGGTGACTGACTGGGCCCACTCAAGGGGGCAGATGGTTCCCGGAACCAGTGGTCATACACGGTATTTAAAACCGCCTCTGGTTGGGGTCCCTGTGGGGCGAGTGTGTGGCAGGGAGGAGGAGGGGGCCCCAGCAGAAACACACTAGGGCAGGACAGGGCCAAGGAGGAGCCACCCGGTGAAGTGGGGAGCCACCTGGCTGTATCTGGTCATAGAAGCCAAGAGAAGTTCAGGTTTGAGGAGCGGAATGGGCGCCCCAGTTTGAGAGATGCTGAGAGATGAAGAACAGTTAGACCCAGGAGTTGACCCTTGGGGTTGACAGCCTGCAGCCCTGGCGCAGGCCATAGGCAGGATGCGTGGACCCGAGGCCACAGAAGGCAGGCTGGGGAGGCCTGGAGGGAGCACAGGCTGTGGATGGCTGTCTGAGCACCTGGGAGAGGACGGAGTTTGCTGTGACGGAAGGAGGTTGCCTCGGGAGCAATGAGAGTGTTGGAGCACGTCTGAGTTCGGGTGGCAGTACTTCAGGAGAGGAAGTGGAGGGATGAGAGGAGAGGTGGGCTGGGAGCTGGCGCAAGGTGGACGGTTGGGCTCGTGGGGGTGGCGGTGGCAGGCATTTCATCCCCAGTGCTAGCAGGGAAGGGGGTTGAGCAGGAGCAGAGAGGCAGGCAGGCGGGAGAGCAAGTACAGGTGTGGGGAGAGGGAGTTCTGGCCCCATTGCTGCTGTTGTCTGAGATACAGGCTGGATGAGGCAGGAAGGGGGCTGGTAGACGCTGGAAGAGCAGTGAAGTGGTCCTTTTGGAAAGTGGGAAGGTGAGCATACTGGCACTGCAGAAATGTCAACAGGGTGACGGCGTGTCCGTTTTTGCCCTGTGATCAGATTCGAAGGGAGGCAGTCACCCTGGTATTTCTCTCCTGCTACTTTCAGCCTAGAGGGATGAATAGTTGGGATCAGCCAGGCTGCGGCTTTGCCAGGTGAGTGCAGCAGACGGGGAGAGGAACGAGGTGATTTTCATGAGTAGCCCAGCAAGCTGCTGTGGCCTGAATTCCTTGCCGTGGTCAACGGTAAGGTTTCTATCTTTGAGT